TCTGACACCTTTTGCATAATTTAATGGTAAAAACTTTGCTCAAAATCCTATTGTACACAATCAGATACACCTGATAACAGGGGGCAGAAGACTACACAAAAAATAATCTTGACTTATCGCATAGTAATAAATTATTAATATTGAAAAATGATTTTTCTTTTTTCTATTTACATATTTTGTTAAAAGGCCAAATAACGAATTCAAACAAAAAAAAGGATTTTTCTGTTTTGTTTTATTCTTGGATCAGGCTTTAAAAGGTTAAAATGTATCCGGCTGCTTCCATGTGTTCGGGGTTGCAGTTGTAAGCTGCTGCCTTTCCACACAGAGTGAATTTAACCTGTTCAAACTGTTGTCTGACTTATGTGTAAAGATTTTATTTGGACGTCTGACTGACGGGACATTATGGCTGTTTTGTAACTTTGAAAACTAGATATGATCTACATTGCAAAAACTAGCATAAGAGGCTCTGAAAATTGTGTGTTGACAGATGATTCCTGACTAACCCTAACTGTAGCGGCTAAAATCCAGTATTTCAGGCTACTGGTTGTTGACTTTAAAAGGGTGTTGGTCTTACGTGTGCTCTGTTTAGAAATCCGGATGCCAGTCTTTGGTTTGATGTATAATAAAGTCGTTTATTGTTTGCATCATGTCCATCATTGCCATTTCCATTTTAATTCACCTCTATTCTGCCATCGAAAATCAACCAGCAACACAGTAGAAAACTGTTGCCCCTTCTTATCAACAACGCCTGAAATCAATCACGGCAGACCTTAAATAACCCATCCCTCAGTCATTAGACACACAGAACTCAAAATGAAAAACGCCCCCTGGTGGCGATAAACACAGAAAAGGATAAATGGCTCCTACACTAACCCTAACCCTAACCCTAACCCTAACCCTGACTCCCCTCTGCCTCAGCTCTTCGTGGTGAAGCAGGGCGACAGCTGTGAAGAGGCTCTGCAGCGCCACCTGGTGGAGGACAAGAGTCCCAACGGAGGGGCGTCCTACGCCGACTTCCTCTACCACCTCCACGTCAACTCAGTCCGGCTGCTGCAGTAACGGCCACCAGCCCCCTCAGTACGCACACAACAGGAAAACTGAGCTCATTACGAGCAGGAAATATTTAAAAAAAACTGTACACATGCAATACTGTGCATGGAGGAGCGTTAAGAGAAAAAAAAAGACCTTTGAGGATCCCCCCAAAAATACAAAATATGGTTATATAT